GTTGTTACACATGCAAACACTTGTAATGGACTGGTAATATACAGATATAGTTTAGGTAATGATGTGAAAATCAAGGTCGAAGACAACATTTTGGCTTCGAAGACAAATTCAGGGATGATGACCATTATTTGTCTTCGGAAAAAGCGAATCAAGTCGAAGACAATATTCTTGCATCGAAGACATTTTTATATCTTCAGAATAATTTGGGTCGAAGACAACTGTCTTGCTTGGGAATAACCAAGGTCGAAGACAATATTCTTGCTTCGAAGACAATATTCTTGCTTCAAACAAATCAGGGTCGAAGACACTTATCTGTCTTCAGAATTATCAGGGTCTAAGACAATTATTCGTCTTTGGAATTAGCGGGTCTTTGGTAAAAAAATTGAAACCAGGAGGTAAGCAAAAAATGTTTCAAAAATCTAGGTTTACAGCAGAAATGAATGAATTTAACGATACATATGCATAAAGTGAGCAAGGTAAGAGACTTAACAACATATCAGCGCTAGTTTTGACACAATTAATACACAAATAAGCTGATGGTTTGTTACACTGCTCCCCCTTAAAATAATGTTCGACCCAAACATTCTTATTTCCTCTTTGCTACATAGTCACTTCAGCAACGCATATAAAACAGTAGACTGGTAGATGATAAGTAATGTTCACATATGCAATACTAGTAAATGGTTCCATTTGTTGAGCTAGGTTTCTTCTTTCGGCATCTCACAGGATATCGCTGGCATGAAACAAAACTACACACACATCCGAATCTGTAATCGTATAGGAGACCATCTTAGACACCATACCCGTAGGTAAAGCCAAGCATTAAGAGAAGTAAGATCAACGTTGCCATGTCAACCACATCTTCAAGGCATCATAGATCATATAAAACAGGACACTTTTTCACAATCTATACATGGTTTATTCTCTCAAACTGATTCATATTTCTCATGTCAGATGTAATGGTTAATCAAGCACCATCCATCATACAAGGGCACCTTAACGTTAAGGTATCAAAACATAATAATCACAATATATCACAATTTCACCATATAAACAAGTTCACAGGGGTTCAGTCAGCTTCTCGATTTGGACACCAGTCTACAGCTGATGTACGACTACTCAACATCTTGAATCAAGCAGCCAAGGTTTTGACAAGCATCTGCTTACATCACTCTGACAAGGAGCGATGGAACAAAGATAAAATGGAATGACAAACTGTATCTGCAGAACATAGACGACCATGTGGGGCACTTGTCTGGGCAGGGCTTTTGGAACAGAGTGGTGACTCTACGGATATCACCTTTCAAGGATGGGTCAGTGGATCTCGACCACATTAAAACCAAAGCAACTGTTCACCTTTCACAGTAGTCCCTTGATTTACAGTAAATCAGGCCCAGAAGAAATTTTGTAACTTTTCGGACAATGGCCACTCTACATGGAACGTAGACATGGATTTTTCTCATAGTCCAACTCAATAAACAAGAGAGCATCACTCGGGATCAAGGGATTTGCCTCGGGCGTCGCTTCTGGCTAACGGACTAGAGAGGAGGTAACCCAGACGCCTATCATGTATCATTAAAGATACATCAATTAGCCAAGACCTTCCTGAATGTTCCATCTCACACACCATAATCTACTCATTACTCCAGATGAATTGTAGATTGTGCCTAGGATCTGTTGTTAGAGGGCGACATATTGAAAGTGACATCAAAAGAACTTACATCGATAAAACAATGTTTAAGATTTACAGTCATAAGTATATTGGTTTCTGCACTCTAACTTTAAGACAGGTGGAGATTAACACAACATGATGATCTGCATATCATAGATGTTTATATAATGCAGAACAGGGAATGGGGCTGTTAAAAGGGGATTGGGTTGTTTGCATCATTGTATGGGTATGGCCTTAACCAAGCTATCTCTGTTACCATAGTTATGTAACAATCGTTGACCATGTATCTGCCATACAAGTGTAGCGTCGCCCCAGACTGTTATCTTGTTCCAAAGCAGTATTGCTTAAACAGTAACAATTGTCAACAATAGTAAGAATAGGACAATTACATGTGAGTTTTTAAGTCAATAGTAAGTTTTTCATAAGTCTTATAGTCATTCCGTAATATGTGTTAACGTCTGGCTACACGTTACCAATGGGACTAATGCTGTTTATATTAATAAACTGGGGTTTCTGGCCACCTCTAATCATGGTATCCAGGGTAAATAGTGGTACTACCCACTTCTAGCAATGGCTACCCAGGGTGTATAGAGGTTCTAGCCACTTCTAGCAGCAGTTACCCAGGATGTACAAGGGTTTAAGCCACTTCTAGTAATGGTTACCTAGAGTGTATAAGGGTTTTAGCCACTTCTACCAATGGGTACAAGGATGGATAAAGGTTCTAGCCACTTCTAACAATGGGTACAAAGGATGGATAAAGGATCTAGCCACTTCTAACAATGGTAACCTTGGGTGTATAAGGGTTCTAATCACTTCTGGCAATAGGTACAAAGGATGGATAAAGGTTCTAGCCACTTCTAACAATGGTAATCTGGGGTGTACTTCTAGCAATGGATACCAAGTATGGATAAAATTTCTAGGATGAATAAGAGTTCCAGCCACTTTTAGCTATGGGTACCAAGGATGTTTAAGGGTTCAAGCCACTTCTAGCCATGGGAACCAAGGATGTGTATGGGTTCCAGCCACTTCTAGCCATGGGAACCAAGGATGTGTAAGGGTTCCAGCCACTTCAAGCCATGGTAACCATGGATGTATAAGGGCTGCAGCCACTTCTAGCTATGGGTACCAAGGATATATAAGGGTTCCAGCCACTTCTAGCTTTGGGTACCAAGGATGTATCAGGGTTCCAGCCACTTCGCGCTATGGGTACCACGTGACTAGACGGGGGGGGGGCAAACGTGTTACACTTGCAGTTGACAGAGGGAACTGGAACTGGCTAGAAGTCACGAGTATCATGTGTCAATGGAAGTCAAATGTGAATAGGAGGGGGAATAAACATATCTCACCAAACTCCCTAAAGATAAACAAAACAACAAGTTTAAAATTATCCAATATATTTCAAGAATTATAAAATAATCACATATAATTAGTACAAGTACGTTTATAATACGTTACATACACAACAAAGTACACTCAGGCCAACCCAACACTTAAATCACAGTAAAGTGGCTAAACATGCTAGAAGTTTAGCTTAGCTGATAGGAGCTAGATGATGACTTGCTCATAGCTAGAACAGGCTGTCCCATATCCAACATAACAGATAGCCCCTCTCTTCCATTAAAAGGTCATATTTTACATTCACTAATCATTAAATCTAACCAGGAGTGACATAACTATATATTTACCAAGTTTCATGGCATGACTTAAAATTCAAAATTTATTGACCCCCTTGTGTATTGATTTAAGATTCAAGTGTTACGCGGATTATGGCATATATTCATGTTTGCGCGGTATTTGTGATACGGTGAAAACATTAAGAATGTGATGAGAAAACGAGACGAAATTACATGAAAATACATGGAAATCACTTCAAAAGTTCTCATCTCAATTACTGGTTAATTACTAAAACAATTCCAATCAAAGTCATAGAACAATTAAAATATATCATAATAATTACCTTGGACCACAATGCACCACGATTCACCAACGCAAACTGCTATAAATCCAAGAAAATGAGGAGAAAACACAAAATGGTCTGCCATGATTGAGATAATTCCAAAAGACAAAGTAGTACATGAAATCCCTACGCCAAATCACATGACAAGATGAATCACAGTTCAAAATAAGACAAACTAAAGTTATGTACATATATGTGAACATGCATACAATAGAATAGACATACTAAATAACATGCATAAGTCAAAGTAATTACAATAATGCGAGAAGATAAGGGGACCTATATCCTGTAAGCAGAATTGTCATAGAGTCAGGCCGTCCAACTGTCCCGCAATGTGCGTATTTGTCACGCTTTTGTTGAAAAAATTGTCACGCCAGTTTTTTTGCGTGACAGAATGTGTCACGCAAAAACGCATTTTACCTGAGTATTGTAAAGCAAAAATATTCCTGTAGAAAAACTCCAAAAAATGATCGCCGATACAGCACAAAATCCGAACGCTGAAAAAACTAACGCATTTCGTTCGGACTTTTCACGCGGATTCCGCATACGTAACGCATTTTCCTCGAAATATTTCGTACCTACCCTTCCTATTCTGAATCTACCATGTGGCTTGCCCTTTACACATGGCGCACATTGTCACGTGTTTTCTCAAATCGCCAAACCAGCAGATAAGACATCTAGCGAAACATCGCTCCATGACATTACTTACAGCGGAGTTGCATTCGGGGATACTTCATTAAATCTAACCAGGAGTGACATAACTATATTTTTACCAAGTTTCATGGCATGACTTAAAATTCAAAATTTATTGACCCCCTTGTGTATTGATTTAAGATTCAAGTGTTACGCGGATTATGGCATATATTCATGGTTGCGCGGTATTTGTGATACGGATGAATATGCCATACTCACCTGCGGTATATGGCATATTCCGCAGGTGAGTATGGGATATTCCGCAGTGAATATGCGATACATTAATTTCAGTGAACACCCGATACTCACCTGCGAAATATGTCATACTCACTTGCAGAATATGCCATATACCGCGGGTGAGTATGACATATACCGCAGGTGAAAACGTGATACAGAAAGCCTTAATTTGATCGGTTGCCAGAATCAACTCTAAATGTAAAACTTTTACCCGTTTGTTCAATCGATGGAATTAACAATTACGTACTCCCGCATCGCGTTCTCATTGGTTAGTGAGGAGTATGCCATATACCGCAAGTGAATCTGTCATACACCGCAAGTGAATAGGCCATATTCGTTGCGGAATATGACATATATTTGTATCGTGTTTACCGCGTAACATCAAGATCTATTGTGGTTTAATTGAATGTATTCAAAAAATCGAAATTTTGGGATACTTACAACTTTGAGTCGAACTGTTGTTGTGAGTTTCTCGTCTTTATCAACCTAAAAGAATTATATAAATTAATATTTGATCATAATATATTTAACGTTCAAAACGTTGTCTTAAACTATTTTACCAATGAGTCCTAAGTTGTAAACGAGACCTATTAACATTAATAAGATTATGTAAATTTTAATTAAAATGCACATGCTATTTTACAATTATTGTCGTAAAATAATGATTACAATTTTGAAATCCAACAACAGAAAGAATGTCAGCAAGCTCCTTCAGATATACTGTGTGAAAATAAGTGTTATAATCAATCAACTTCAAAGATGTATCAAAAGCGAAATATGCAACTCTAATCCAAATCAGTGGTTTTCATTTATGGTGATATTTAACTTGTTTCATCGTCATAAGATTTTAGTAAAACATTATTTTAAAAATGCTCATCCTGATGGACAAAATGTGACTTCTAGGTCGATGAGATTCCCCGTGGTTATAAATTCAGAAAACTGAAATATCTTTTCTTGTATTGAACATATAATATTTTCTTTTACTAAACATATTTCAATTTGTATAATCAGATACACAGGGGTTGGTTAAAGGTGCAATAATTAGTGCAGAGGGGTCATTCAACGATCATGGACCAGTGTCAAAATATATTTAAGTTTGGATATTTCATCAAGACTAACATCTATTTTTGTTATCTACAAAGAAACCCCCTAGATAAACATAATTTTAACTGACATTCCTCTTGAAACATGGTGGATCTTAAAAATATAAAAGTTGAAGTCCCCTTTTTGAAGCTTTGAATTGAATTGACACTTCTTAATGCTGAAATTGATAATTTATCCATACATTTTAAGAAAATAGGTATGCCAAAGAAGATGTTAACCCAAATGTTGCCTTGATAGCTCAGAAAATGAAAAAAAATCCCATTTTCTCTACAGTCCTTATTGCCCCTTTAATATGAAAACTGAGGCCACTAAAACTGATGAATAGTCGAGTTTAGGGGAACTTTCTACAACATGCATGCTATCTGCCCCAAATTAGCCACCTGGTGGTGAAACTGGTCGCATCTGGGTTATTTACATAGTAAGTGAGCAGAAATTTTTAAAGTTTGATAATTCAAGAAAGAAGAAGGTTTAGGCTATATCCTACGCATGGTGTAAATGCCAGAACATTCCAATTTTGGTGCTATTTGTGATCAGAAGAAGAAAAGTCATTTCAATAAAAATTTCATACTTCTCGGTCTTAACAAAACACATTCTACTAAGCAGGTGTCCACAATCCATACCTCCTTCTTCCCCCTGCTATAACCAATTTGGAAGCGCCCGAATTAACTGAATCACGTGATCTAATCATGCGCAATGACTTATGGACATGATTTCTGTCGCAGTGTTGCGACAGCCAATCAGATTTCGAGTTCTTAATAGGGGAAATGGTAACTGCTTATCGCAGGGGGTAAAAGAAAGAATGTATTCTTGATTTTGAAGCCCTGTGATCGGAGGGTGAATAAAACACTATTGACACATTTTTGCCATTTTTGATACTTTGTTCAAAAACTAAGGTCAGTCTACCAGCACAAGAAACGACTACTGAAGATGAGATTTTGTCCAAACCAGGCTTGAATGAAGTTATAGGGAACATAGCCTCAAGAGAATGAATAACTAAACCAATATCTTAGATAACGCATAATCTTACCATATCATTTATTTTCAGAAGCGACAAAGAGACGTTGATGCGTGTTTCTCCAGTGCTGCTCTGACTGATTGGTCTCACGTATCGCATCGTATCTACCTGTTTGAAGTCGCGAAACAATCTTGCCGCCATGGAATCTATAATAAACGAAAAATGACGTATTTAACCAAAATTAGGAATGCATTTTGTATATGATATTTAACAATGGTTATATGACTGCTTGTTTCTGCGGCTTGATAAACTTAAATTCGCACATCCCAGGACTTATGTTATTTTTACTGCGACACTGATTTCATAATTTCTCCAATATTTTGTTTTCAACTAGTTAAGTTGACTGGAGGTCAAAACAGAATTCTGTTATCTTTGTTCAAAAAATGTATCAAATCAAGCATGGTATTGTCACCTCCTGTTTTGATTTCCTGTTAAGTAACACTGCACCTTAAGTATGAGGGCATGTGTGTATTTCCTTCTTTTCTTCGGGAAAGTATCATTACATTGTCTACTTTTAGTAAACCTGGAAACAGGTCAATGGTACATGTACATGCAGCTCCTGTGTTGTCTGGAAACTTCAAAAGAAAATTTGGAAAAATTGAAAGCGTGAAATATCAGAATTTCCTGGAGTTCCCATTTCCTGGAGTTCCCATTGAACTCGTACCAGATTTACTAAAAGAAGACAATGTAATGATATTTTCCTGAAAAAACAAGGAAATTAAGGTGCTGTGGAAGTTAACAGGAAATGACAAAACGGGAAGTGACAAAAAATTTTGCATTTTTAGACATTTTTTGAACAAAGATAACAAGAGTTCTGTTTTGACCTCCAGTCAATTCAACTAGAGTCCATTTCAAAGCTTCATTTCGTCAGTAGAACGGCAAAAATAAGAAATTGGGAGACCATTGTGCAATAATATATGGAAAAGTATATTCATAATGTACATGAATGACATTTGTATATTTCAGATTTTTTAGTTTTTTGTGAATAAGCCTGTGCCGTCTTGTAATTTGAAGAATTTCAGCCATGTTAATCTTATTGAAAATAACATGGCAGAGAAACATCCAAATATAAGAGACCACACACTTTATAAGCCAAACTAGAAGCAATCCAAGATATACAAATGTCATTCATGTACATTATGAATATACTTTTCCATATATTATTGCACAATGGTCTCCCACTTTCTTATTTTTGCCGTTCTACTGACGAAATGAAGCAGTGAAATGGACTCTAGTTCCAAATACCATTTACAGGTCCAGGATCACAATGTTCATGGTCAGAATGACCCTAAACATGATGAAATAACCTTTTCAGCCCTCTGAAAATGTGACTGAAAAATAGCTAAAAGTAGGAGGTAGGAAAGGTCACTGAACAGAATCTTTTGAATTTTTCAGAAAATGTGCCCAATATATGTTTTTTCACTTCCTGTTTCGTCATTTCATGTTAACTTCATAGCACCTTAACACATGCCTTCATACTTTATTTCGTACCAGAAAATAACATGTGCAGGTATAGCAATTTTTTCCCAAAATGTTATTTTCCAGCTGAACCTTGTTTATACATTCTAAAGAAAAACTAACTCAATTAATAATTTGGGTACACTAAAGCACCTTATATGCAAAAAATGCCTTATTTTGAATGAGTTATGCTCATCATAGTGAGAAAAGCACACGGCCATCAAAATTGTGGAAAGTACAGATCATTCTTAGCCCCTTACCAGATGTCATCCCATGTTCTCTTTCATTCATTCCAAGTGCATCATAAGGCGCACTGCCATTCGACGTGATATTCGAAAATGGATTCCATTTGGCCAAATCTGAATCATTATGACCAGCTTGAACGTCGGAAATTTGGTTGTGAGGCACATTGTTCAATTTTGAAGTTCTTCGACTGTGACCTGTTGCCGCTCTGGCGGCGTTTGTGGCGTCGATCACATAAGATGGTATGAGGATATTTTCCAAAAGCACGAACAATATCAGGAATGAATGTATTGTACGCTCCATATTCACATGTTATCATTGCTTGAATCATACCAGGGCGAACAGATTGTCGTCATCTGGACTTTGTACAACCAGGTCAGACTCACCCGTCTTTGTTTGGATATTGAGCTAATATTGAGTGATTCCGAGAATTTCAGGTCAAAAAGTAAACTGTGTGTTTACTGAATGGTCGAACATTCAAGTAATGGCTAATTAATAAGTTAGTATTATCTGAACAGAAAGACCACATCGTGTGACATAATATAGTGGTTATTTAAGGATTTAAACCCTGGACTGTGCACAATTTGGAATCACTAATCCTTGCTTTCAAAAATGTGCACGAGATGCGCAGTATCGAGTGTTAATTTTAGGGGACCAATTTTAGGAAACTACGCCTTAAAGGAATGGTCATTCCATAATGCATTGAGTCCTGGGCTTAAATTCTTTTCGCTCATTGTAAAAATATTTTCTACCATGTCACTAAAAGATTACGAAATCATTAAAAGAAAAGTTTTTCAATGAAACTCAAAGCATCAATTTTAATCTGTAGAGTCAAGCTGTCACCCTGAAAACCACATAAGGAATGACTCTGGATGCGGTGATTGGCTACATAAAGCACTGCGGTTATATGAAATACACCTTGCCTAGCCAAGGGCGAACGTAATACCCGGAACATTCGCAAATTGGCGTTCGTTTTTTTACAGTATCCGATTTGAATTAGCCAATAAACATGATAGGGCTGTGAGAACTTAAAATTTATTCTGACGATGTGTCTTACCCCCCTCTGGACAGAGGACAGAGGTCCAGAGCTGAATATGTCAGCACATGTAGATGATTGGTAAGTAAAAACAATCTATCCTTATAACGTAATATATTTTCTATAGTTAAGTGAATTTCGGTCACGAACCATTCAGTGACAACAGTTAAAACGAAGATTGTCCGCGTCAGATCATCCTCCGAACGCAGGGTTCCAGACATCATCCACAAAGTTCCTTCCTTCTTCCAAGAAGAAGGAGGTACGAGTTCTGGAGGCCTGTGTTCGGAGGATGGCGTCAGATTTGATTGTACCACTTGGAAACCAATGGGGTTTTCTCATTTGCATAATCACGTAAGCCATAGACTGTTATGGGGGATTTCCGAAGGTAGCTTTCCGAAGCAGGGTGAGACACATTAACAGAAAACACAATCACCACTTAAATTACATTTCCCTGTTTGTTCTGTTCGTATCAAGACGTTTTTCATGTCATATATTTAAGTTAATCAATTATGTAGCTCATGATGAGAACAGATTCCAATGCTTTAGAGTAAAATAACCGCAAAACGGTACAGAAAAGGGTACCTAGGTCTAAGAAAACCTACCCCTCTATACACCATTAATTGTATATTGAAGACCAAACAAAGCCCCGGATGTCGTGCCGTTTCTCGTTTCGTTTGGTACACAACTAAGCCCCGGGTATTAAATAAGCCCTTGGCCTAGCTATGTGTGAATACATATCAAAGAATTCTTGATTGGGGTAATTTACGGAAGGGGGTATTCCATTTTTTCAAAATATTTATTTCCACAAAAACGTGGTTGTCATTTAGTTTTTAACTCGACATTTTTATTTTCTAAGTTGAGGCACAGGGTGAGCCAAAAGGATAATCCTGCCCAATGCTCACTCTACTATACCTTGCATTTGGTGTTCATGAGCAACACATTTGGCTTATTAGCAATGAATGTTATTTGTTTTTATTTGTCTGTTCCTTATTAATGGTTTATCGGATGACTGTTAGATGTTAATAAGGCACGTTCAAAAATACACTAGACAATACAATTAGACAAACAGAGTATCTTATGCATTACATACCTAAAGCATAAAGTGTCATGAGAAACCATGTGCGCAAGTTTTTTTCAGTGTTTGACATTAAAATTGATTCTATTGTACAAAAATAATCAATAAATATAGCTGATTACCTTTTGTTCATCATTTTATTAAAATATAAGTCCAAATGTACCAGTATATAATACTATATATTTCATATGTACACTTATTCGGTCCAACAAACCATAGTGTAATTTACAGTGTCACAATTATGTCATGCAAAACGAGATAATTATGTCAAGACAAACAATTTCATTATGTCAGGTGAAACAAGATGTCAAGTGAAACAATAGAAATGTGTCAGGTGAAACAATTTCATAATGTCAGGTGGATCAAGATCAATTAAGTGAAACAAGAAAAATATGTCAAGCAAAACAAGATAATTTTGTCAAGTGAAAAGAGGGGAAGCTCAGCACAGAGAAATTGTACAAAAATATGAGTATATGTTATTTCAAAATTCCATCAAAAAATGATTAGATTTTGAAATGTCCACCTGAAATGTGCAACTTGTTACTTCATTAACTATTAATAATTCAAATCATGAATGCAGATCTACCCTTACAAAAATCTGACTTCACGGTCCAATTGCTGCCTCTGGGGACCATAGCACTTAAAATTTATGGTTCTGTAAAAAAATGCGAAAATATGTGGTGCTCATTTTGATATATGTATTAACTCATGGAGTAACATCTGTCGCCATGAAAAACAGCTTGAAAATCATATTTTTTCGTTATTTATAACTCGATCGCCACCTTAATTAATTCTCGATTAATTCTCAGAGTTGTTAAGACCATTTTAAACATCAAAATTCTGAGGACCTCGTGATGTGAGACCTAAAGGTATGCAACAACTCTTCAACCTATCGACTTCGTGAAAGTGAAGCAAATTCGAAAATTATTTTATCTTTGATGGAGTTTATCTTGCGGCGCCATGAGCAAGAATGATAAGTATGAACCTAACAGTCTTATTTCCAAAACGGCAAATCACTATGCAGCAATAGCTATAGCGAATCAAATCGCGTTAGATTTGAACGACACAAACATGAACTACACCCCACAAAAACTATAGAAATTATTTATATTTTAAATTCGTTAACTCAACCGAATATAAATGTCAAAGACAATGCTATGATATTAAGATAGTACAGGTCGCATCCTGATATTTTGCTCATACAAAATTTCAAACCGTTTTCAAATAGGAATAAACTGTTATGAACAGGGCAGGGAGATACTACAGTGTCACAGAGAAACATGGAAACAACATTATGGAGAATATACAAAGTAACAACAACAATGAGAAGTTCGGTCTGCTTTACGAGATGCCCCATAGTTGTATGTTGACTGTATTATGTTCCTATCGTACAAAGATCTCTACTGGATCCATAATTTAAGACCTACCTGAACTTCTAGTAGACAACTAAATTACAGAAAAAAAATCTCAAAGAATCGTTAGTTAAATTTTCAGAATTGTATGTTGATACTAAGACACATAGAAATTACTTGGGGACAGAAATTAAAATGTTTATATCTGAAAAATCCAACCTTGTAGATTCTGAGAGATTTATACGTTGGGACCTTTGCCCTTGTATTATGACACATGTGGCACATTATGGTATTCCTGTTTAGTTTTAGTTTGATTAGAAACTCACATATCATATACAGTATATACGTATCATGTAAATCAAAGGGCATTTGCACCTTGCTAAAATGTTAATATTAGATAAGGTAAATGTTCTATTTTTCACTCTTTTTCATTATTTTGGTTTGTTACCATTCCTTCTAATATTTTCTAGCAGAATATATGCCACTCACTCTACAGGGTGGTCCAAAAATTGGAACATTTGTAAATTGTATGCAGCATATTCATTTACCATCTGAATTACATCAACATTTTACTGAGCATAGTTTATGTTGGAGTCAATTCGATTGAGGCATTTGAACTTTTTCTAAAAATTGATTTTTCGACTATCGGACAGAAACTGAAAAATATCTTATTTACCATTTCATTGACAAGATTTGCAATTTTCTTGTGTATGAACTAACAATACAGCGTTCAATCTGCAAAGGATTGGTATCGATATGGTGAACTGAATTCAACAATATTTTTCTCTTAAACCAGTTATTGAAAACATTCTGTAAAAACATGGTCCTTTGGTTGATTTAACAAAAAGTATTCAAAAAATTTAAATAAAAACCCCAAAATAGATAAAAATTAAAATAAACCTTTTATTTCACTAACAAGGTATTTTTAAATCAACCAAACTAATTATATTGTACAATTACAATATGGAGAGACCTAAACACGTTGTGTTTATGTCATTTTGTTCCAGTCAGGTTTGGATAGATGCTTCATTTCATTTCGAACATATAATACCAAGAAAAAAAGAAGTAGTTTCTGATGTGTTTTCTAAAACAATATAGAGAAAAGTAAATATTTTCATTTTAAATTATATTGTTACCATTCAAATACTCAGTAATACTTGTAAACTAAAATAAAAAGATTACCATTAAATTGACAGTGTGTAAATTTTTCAGAATTATTTGATGACTCAGGTTAAATAAAAGAAAAATGACGAAATTTTAGAAATACTGGACGAAATGAAAAATGTACTGGACGCAAGCCTGTTAATACAGAGTGGCTTGCGTCCAGTACATTTTAATTTCGTCCGATCGATATTTCTTTAAAATTAGTTATTTTTCTATTTTCGATCATTTCAAAGCTAAAATTTGCCAACTGGAAGCTGTATTCTTATTCCATACACAAGAAAATTGCATATCTTGTCAATGAAATGGAAAATAAAAAGAAATCTGAGTCGATTCGTGTATTTCCTAGGAAAAAATCATTGAAAGTATTTTCGTGCTTAACCCCACATTACAAAAAATCTAAATAAATGACTGTCATTTTATAAGGATTGTGTGTTCCTCAATGTACTGGGAATCTGATGAGTCTGTTTTTAGAAAAGGAAACACTGTAAAACGATCCCAAGCTACCGAGTAAAATCACACCTACCTCTCTCTCGATCAAAAATGGAGGTCTGCGGTTTGTACCAGACGAAAATACTGGACGGGTTTCTACCCCCTGCGTGTGTAGGTATAAACATATAAGCTCAAATATTACTGCGTTATATTGTACTACCAGTTCCTCCATTAGGCGTCCTAGGAATTTCATACCATGGACTACATCCCCTTTCTGCTCCCAGTTTCTATTTACAATAGTTAGCTAGATCCATTTAAATCAGTTGGT